TTTAGTCTGTAGTCACTTGGCCCCATTGCTTGGCCTGTGGTGATACAAAACATTATGATGGGGAGGAGTGTGGCAGAGCAAAGCTACTCCCCTCACAGTAGGGAGCCAGGAGAAGAAATGAGTTCAGTTATGAACTCATCAAGATACTAGTCCAATAATGAAGTTACATCCAGTCACCTCTCAACATCACCAGCTGGGGACTGAGTCTTCAGCAACATGATCCTTTTGAGGGGAAATTATCTCATATAATTTCTACCTGTTTTCAACATGTCTTTCATTCTCAGGTGGATGATCTTTCACATGTAAATTAGGAGAAATTCCATTAGACTAGTGTCTCTTGTTTGGAGTGTATAATGATTAGCTCCCAGAATCCTTAAACTGTACTTTTTTTGTTAGTGGTACAAAGGCTTGAACTCAGTCTTCTGCTTGCTAGGCTGGTGCTCTACTACGTGAGCCACACCCACAGCATGTCAGCCATACTTCTAAAAGATTTAGACTTTTACAGTTTTCCAAGTAATCTATCCTAATGTAAATAACCAAGGTAAAAATATATATAGTCTTGTATCATTATAGAGTTACTGAACAATGCCTCTTAAGAAAGCTTTTATTTTAACAGAAATAGTCCAAATTTGGAATCTAAAGCTCACTAATATATCACATTGAAATTCTGCAATTTGTTCCTTTTTTTGAGACAAGCTTGCAACTTACGATCCTGCTGCTTTATCCTCATGATAAACACTTGGCTCCATTGATACACATTATACCTTCATGCATGCTAGGCAAGCATTCTACCACTAAGCCACATTCCCAGCCCATAGCTGATTTTAAAATTACTGTGATTATTGACACAACTTTTTACTTGAAATGGTTGTGTATGAAAGGGAAACAACAAAGATGTACCAAAATTTCATACTTGACTGTGTTAAAAAACAAAAACAGAAACTGATGTGAGTTTTTAATCTAGCATTCAGGAGACTCTTCATCTTGAACCTAACCTGGAAGTCCTAGAAGTGCGTCAAACTTAACAAGGGTAAAAGTGAAGATAAATCTCCTTAATTCCTGCATAAATACTGTGGAATGTACTACACTTTTCTTCCATTCTATGATAGAACTGATATGGAAACAAGAATCAGGGGCACACATATCTGGTTTTCCTAGGATTACCTATGACAGCAGCAGATCCTAAGGTTTATTCCTGACACATCTCCATAATTCTTCCTTACCCAGCCGATCAATTGTTACTGGATTCCTCTCTTAAGAGGAAAGTCATCAGGCTATATATGACATAGTTGGTGTCTTCCTTAAGGGAAATTGTCAAGTGGTTCCTTTGTCAATAGGAAGTTGGACTACTAGGACATTAATGTCTCTTCCAAGATTGATGGTCCTCTACTCTTGGGTGTGTAGACTTTTCCTACTTGGTTATTATCTTCTGCTGTGTTGCAGGTCTATGCTGTCTTTATTTTTTTTCAAATTTACAGTATACAATATTAATAGCAGGAACTGTGTTATGATACAAGGGTACCATTAAACAAATAAACTTGAGTTTACAAATAAGGAAATCGAAATTGTTCTAAGAATTGATGAGAGCAGTAATAGACATCAGTAAAAAATTAGTGGGAGTCATATGAAAGGCCCTAACCGCAGCCAATTAAGGAAGATCCCTGGTCAGAAACAAGATGGTACCCTCCCTCAAGAGACTAACACCTGAGGTGACTCTAAAAATGAGTACTCTTTAACCAGAGACAAACAGAGAAAGGTCTTTCTTTCTGAAAGGCAGATGGAGAAACATATACGGAGGCCCTGAAAGAGGGCATGCTTTGTTGGAGGACTGCAAGTAGTTTAGTGTAGCTGGAGTTTAGCATGTAAATGGAGATGGATAAGAGAAGGCAGATGAAAAAAAAACTTGTTTTCTGTGGTAAGCTATTTGGACTTTATTTTGAAGGTGATGTAAAGCAATTGAGACTTATTTGTTTGTCTGTTTGTTTTACCAGCCCTGGGTCTTGAACTCTGTGCTTGGGCTTTGTCCCTGAGATTTTGTGCTCAAGGCTAGTGCTCTGCTACTTGAGCTACGGTTCAACTTCTGGCTTTTTGTGGTTAATTTGAAATATTTTTTAAGATAACTTTTGTGGTTAATTTCCTGCCCCAGCTGGCTCTGAACTATGATCCTCAGATCTCAGAATCCTGAGTAGTTAGGATTACAGGCGTGAGCCATTGGCACCTAGCCAATTGAGGTTTAAGTAGAGTAGTTTGGAGATCACCTCTATGTTCTAAGAAGCTCTCTGACAGTAATTAGGAAAATATATTGGAATAGAGCTCCATTGGAAGCAAAAACACCAACTAATAGAGTTTGCAGTAATTTAAACAAAAACATGTTAATATCATAGTACTAGGAGTTCACCAAGGTAGGACATGGCTAGTAATCCCAGAGCCACACTACTAAGGAGCTTCTATTAGTAAGAAGGATTGAGCCTCCAAGACCAGCTTGGGCAAAAGCAAGACCCTGCCTAAAAAGAAAGAAATACTAGGAATGCGTTCAAAAGATTTAATAAGGGCTTAAAATCAGTAGTTTTGTAGGCTAGAGAAAGAGTGAATGAAGGGATTTTTTTCAGGGATCTGACTTGACCAAATGAGTAGTTGTCTTTGCCAAGAGGAAAAATGAAGACAGGAACTGTCAAAGCTTTTTGCTGAGAATGCCTGTTTGAGCAAGGACATGGGTGCTTTTTGTTTTCTTGTATTTGTGATTTTTTAAAAAATATTATTAGAGATGCTGAGATTTGAGCTTAGTGCCTCACACATGCTAAGCCAGTGCTCTATTACTGAGCCACATTATCCACCACATGTATATTTTTAAAATGTGATTTGAGAGTATAGCAGGATATATTTGCAAGAAATGTTATGGAATTATTTTGGGAACTCTTCTAGGTTAAGGTATACTCTTATTTAGGTAGTTTAGAAATGAGTGATCTGCTTAAATTCAATTTTTAGAAAACCCAATAATTCTTGCATTCATCTGTCTTGGGTTTTTTGCCTAAGTTGTGTGGTAAGATTGGCTTGTCTATGTAAATTAGCTAATTTGGTAATAGTTCTGTTATAGTATTAAGCATTTTTAAATAACAAAATGATTTTTCTTAGGCATCCAGACTTTCTCAGATCCTTCGTTCTTCATTGATGTTATGTGAGAATTAACACTCTTGACAGAGATGATTCCTTTTTATAACTTTGTCACATCGTTTTTGAGTTAAGATCACTTTGAAGCTAGTTGAAGTTCTTAAGTTCTTCCATGCTCCTTAATTTTGAAAAAAAAATGCAGAATTTGTTTTTTTTTTGGGGGGGGGGAGTCTGGTCGTGGGGCCTGAACTCTGTGCCTGGGCGCTGTCCCTCAGCTCTTCAGCTCAAGGCTAGCGCTCTACCACTTGAGCCACACCACCACTTCCGGCTTTTTTTCTTTTTGCTTATGTGGTTCTGGGGAATCGAGCCCAGGGCCTCAGGCATGCAAGGCAAGTGCTCTACCACTGAGCCACCTTCTCCCAGCCCCCAGAATTTGTTTTACATTTTGCACTTTTGCTTTATAAAATGATACTTTATCAAGTTTATTCATTACTTCTTGAATGTTTCCTTGATTCTGATCAGTTAGGTCTTATTTCTCTGTAGTTTTGTGATTTCTTTTATATGCTAGTACCAAGGCTTGATCTCACAATCTTGACTTCTTACTTGGCTTTTACACTTGTATCTGGTACTCCACCACTTGAATCATGGCTCCAGTTTTGGCTTTTTTCTGGTTAGTTGAAGATAAGAGTTTCCTGGACTTTCCTGCCTGAGCTGCCTTCAAACCAGGATCCTCAGATCTCAGCTAAGATTACAGACATGACCCACCAGTGGCACCCAGCTTTGCTGTACTTTAAATGTTGCATCTTACAGTAACAAAACACATAGCTGACACATAGAGTTAATTATGAGAATTAAACCTTTGTCATACTTTCTTTAGATTATCACTATTTTTGCTGGTTGTAAGGCTTGCACTCAGGGCTAGGTGTTGTTCCTGAGCAATTTTGTTCAAGGCCAGTGTTCTGCTACTTGAGCTACACTCCACTTCCTCATTAGGTTATTATAATGAGTATAAAAGTATGTATAAAATTAAATTCTTTCATACTGCTTACAAGAAATACAATTTCTTTTCTTTTTCTTTTAATTTTTTGGGTCCAGTCGTGGGGCCTGAACGCTGGGCCTGGGCGCTGTCCTTCAGCTCTTCAGCTCAAGGCTAACGCTCTACCACTTGAGCCACAGCACCACTTCCTGCTTTTTTCTTTTTGCTTATGTGGTGCTGAGGAATCGAACCCAGGGCCTCATGCATGTAAGGCAAGTGCTCTACCACTGAGCCACCTTCCCAGCCCCCAAGAAATACAATTTCTTTAGCTTACTTTAGTACTAGTACAACTTTTCCTTCCTTGAGTATGTTTAAATTTTTCTTTATAAAACATCTTTTTTCCCCCCAGCCCTGGAGCTCAAACTGTGGGCTTAGGTGCTGTCTTGAGCTCCTTTTTGCTCAAGGCTTGCACTCTACCACTTGAGGCTCAGGACCAATTTCAGCTTTTCCTGTGATTAATTGGAGATAAAAATCTCATGTACTTTCCTGCACAGGTTGGCTTGGAACTGCTATCCTTAGATCTCGGCCTGCTGCTGAGTAGATAGGATTACAGGAATAAGCCACCTGCACCTGGCATAAAATATCATTTTTATATAAAGATAGTCTCTACTTTTCACAATATCTTCTAATTGTAAGCTAAAATTCCAATGTTTTGGATTTTTTTCCTACTAATATATAAAAGTATTTAGAATGTTTCACAAATTGTTAAGTCTGTATGTAACATGTCATATCTTCCATTTTCAGAAGCCATAACTTCTCATTAGAGACATTAGTTGTTTATGTTTTTACTAAATCAAAATATTAAATATATAAGAAGATAACAACTTTAAAAGTACTTCTTTTTCTGTATCTACAGATTATAAAAATTAAAATGAACAAACTACGGCAAAGTTTTCGAAGAAAGAAAGATGTTTATGTTCCAGAAGCCAGTCGTCCACATCAGTGGCAGACAGATGAAGAAGGGGTTCGCACGGGAAAATGTAGCTTCCCAGTTAAGGTAAAAGTGGTTATTTCAATAAATTTCTATGTGGAAAAGAACTGACAAATTGTTTGTGACATTCTATTAATTAGAATAACTGAAGAGAGTCATCCAAAAAATAAAGATTTTTCAGATTCTGCTTCATTGATAGAATTAAATGATAAAAATATATTGCAATTAGCAATATTTTCCTTTTTATATTTAGGTAAGTTATACTGTATGTTTGAGAATCAGTACAAATGAGATAATTTCTGATTAAAATACAAATCCTGAAATAATATAAGGATTCTGAATTATCAAGAATCAAAATCACACACACACAAAGAAAAAGAAAAAAAATATTTATTTAGCTGGTTGTAGCTCATACCTGTGATCCTACTCAGGTGGCAGAGATCTAAGGATCATGGTTCAAAGCCAGCCTGGGCAGAAAAGTGTGTGAAATTCTTAGTCTCAACCTAAAAAAAAGAAAATAAAATAAAAAATTCTGGGCTGGGAAGGTGGCTCAGTGGTAGAATGCTTGCCTTCATGAGGCCCTGGGTTCAATTCCTCAGCACCACATAAGCAAAAAGAAAAAAGCCAGAAGTGGCACTGTGGCTCAAGTGGTAGAGTGCTAGCCTTGAGCTGAAGAGCTGAGGGACAGCGCCCAGGCCCAGAGTTCAGGTCCCACTACCGGACCCCCCCCCAAAAAAAAAGTTCACCCCCATGGGATATGTTTATTAAATGGTAGAGCATAGGGAATGGGAATCTACTTTCTTAAATACAAATTTGTTGTGTTCTAGATCATAGATAGAAGAATTAGGTAAAAGGGAGCTTTCTCTAACTTTATAGAATGACCACTGCATGTAGTAAGTGAATTAGTTAGACTGAAGACTGCTACTGTTTTAAAAGGAGTAAAGATAGAAAATAGGGTACAAATGTACCTAAGTTTGTATTTATTGGTGGCTTCAGATTGATAGTTCTTTTTTTTTTTTTTTTTTGTCCACCATGGGGCTTGAACTCTTGGCCTGGGCACTGTCCCTTAGCTCTTCAGCTCAAGGCTAGCATTCTGCCACTTGAGCCACAGTACTACTTGCATTTTCTGGTGGTTTATTGGAGATAAGAGTCTCATGGACTTTCTTGCCCTGGCTGGCTTTGAACCACAATCTTCAGATCTCAGCCTCCTGAGTAGCTAGGATTATAGGCGTGAGCCACCAGTGCCCACCTTAGAATTCTATTCTTAAACACATAGTTTCACAGGAAACACAAAGTAAAGACATCTACTAATATTAAAAGGTTTACAATATTCAAAATAAGAAATTTCTTGCTGCTTTTTGATTATCTTGGACATATTCATGCCTGCTTTTTTTCTGAAGTGTGTACCTTTTACTATGTAAAAAATGTAACTTCGTCCTGCTATTATGTGTGTAGCTGATTAAATACTGTTGGTAATAAATATATATTTTCATATTTTTAAAAAAGAAATATGTCATTGGTCAAAACAGTAAGATACTTTAGTTAGGGTCAGGAAGATGGCTCGGTGGTAGACTGCTTGACTTGCTTACACAAGGCCCTGGGTTCCATTCCTCAGCACCACATAAGCAAAAAGAAAAAAGCCAGAAGTGGCGCTGTGGCTCAAGTGGTAGAGCGCTAGCCTTGAGCTGAAGAGCTGAGGGACAGCGCCCAGGCCCAGAGTTCAGGCCCCATGACTAGCAAAAAAAAAGAGAGAGAGAGATACTTTAGTTAGGTTTTCACAGATTGTGAAATGTAGATGATATATTTGTGCTAACATTTCAGTCCATGTGCTTTTTCAATATTTTGCAAAGAAGATTCAGCTCCATTTAGTAACTCTTAAGATCTTATTTTCTTTATGGTATGATATGATATATATTAAGTTTCTGAACATGATATTAGGGAGCAGTTGTGGTATCTGATTATTTGAAGGAGAATTTAAACTCTAATAGTATAATTTTAAAATAGGAAATTATCAGTCATGAATGATTACTTAAAACAATATGATGATGATAATTTAAAGTTTTCATCAAAGTAATAAATGCTATGGTTAAAAACAACAAACTGAACAAACTGTTCCTATCTTTTTTTCTACCCCTTATTGACACTTTTCAAACATTTTTGTTTACTTCTACCATTAGTAATGTTTTAATTTCTTTTTTGGGGGGTGGGGGTCCAGTCGTGGGGCCTGAACTCTGGGCCTGGGCACTGTCCCTCAGCTCTTCAGCTCAAAGCTAGCACTCTACCACTTGAGCCACAGTACCACTTACGGCTTTTTTTTCTTTTCTGCTTATGTGGTACTGAGGAATCGAACCCAGGGCCTCATGCATGCAAGACAAGCGCTCTACCACTGAGCCACCTTCCCAGCCCCTTTAATTTCTTTAGATAATATAGTTTTGCAGTCTGGTCTTTTTTTTTTTTTGTCGTCGATTGTCTTGAATTCAGGGCCTGGGTACTATCCCTGAGTTCCTTTGCTCAAGGCTAGCATTCTACCATTTTGAGCCACAGCTCCACTTCTGGTTTTCTGGTGGTAAATTGGAGATAAGAGTGTCGTGGACTTTCTTGCCCAGATTAGCTTTGAACTGAGATCTTTAGGTCTCAGTCTTCTGAGTAGCTAGGGTTACAGGCATGAGCCACCAGTACCTGGCTTATCTAGTTTTAATTTACATACTTTTATCATTATTCTTTACAATGAAGAGAAAGGATGGCTTAACCTGCAATCTTCTCCATCTTTCCTTTGACTCTAGTTCACTCTATTTTTAGTTTATTTTTGATTTCCTGTAACTATAAATTTCTTGTCCTATTAATGTTACATTTTATATGTCCTATTAATGTTATATAGTTAAACTTATTTCACCCATGTTTTTCTTTTTTAGCATTATAGAGGTCAAAAACATTTATATTTGATTCTATAGCCATCAATCTCTTATGTCTTGAGTTTTTGTAAAAGTTTCATTATTGTGGCTTGTAAAATAAGGAATGTGCTACATTTTCTTCTCTATGAGAACAGCAGTTCACTGACGTATTTGACAGATATTTTCTGATTCTGCCAGACAGTGTTCTAGGCCCTGAGGATATAACAAACAATACAGACACAATTCCTGCACAGTATTTATGTCTTAGTGAGTGTTAGGGAGTGAAGAAATAAATATGCAAGCTATATGATATGTCAGAAAGAAATTAGGTAAGAGGGGAACATATTGGGGTACAATTTTTAAAAACATGGTTAGGTAAGCTTTCACTCATGAAAAGCCCTCACTGCATAAAATCCCAAAGTAATAGAGAAAATAAACATTTCAGGTATCTGAGGAAGCAGAATATAGACAGAGAGAGAAGCAAGTGCAAATGCTTTTCTCCAAAAGAATGCCTGGTATTTAAAAGCATACCAAGAAAGCCAGTGTACTAGAGCCATGGCTTCAAGTCGGCATAAGATCAGAGAAGTAGAAGGTACCAAACCAATTGTACTTTAAATACTTTAAACACTTGCATTTTTTTACTGCAAAACTAACACTCATTATACATTATATGTTTTAAATTAAATGTAGTGCCATACATATGCTCAATTAACTATATATAAAGAAGAAATAAATTTTTAATAAAGTTGTATGCAGCATGTAAATATAAAGTAAAGCATAATCTCTCTAAATACAACAGTTACATTTGTACAGAAACTACTGTGTGTGTGTTTGTATGTGTATATATGTGTATATATAAATACATATATATATGAATTAGGATCTAATCTAAAATAATTAGTAAGCAGATGTCTGTCATTCATGGTCCCTCACCCATTATCTGTAATTTTCCCAGTCATTGTTACCACAGACAATTCCTAAACATCCACTGGAAAACCATGTATAGAGCCTTGTAGATAAATCACTACTTAAGGATTATGTTTTTCTAGAGTCTCATGGTACAACCCAAGTTGGCCTTGGAACTAGTGATCCTCCTGCCTCACCCTCCCAAGTGCTGGGATTACAGGTATATAATACCAGCCTTATTTTAATGATGTTGACTTGTATTTAAAGTGAAATGGAGACCATTTTTGCCTATTTTGGACAGTGCAGCAGCATTATATGATGTATTTTTAAAGAATCAATATTGTATAAATTACTGTACTACCAAAAGTGATATACAAATTCAGAACAATCACAATCAAAATCCCAATGACGTTCTTTACCAAGATAGACAAAACAATCCAAAAATTCATTCAGAACAACAAAAGACCTAGAATAGCCAAAGCAATTCTAGGCCAAAAAAAGCAACGCGGGTAGTATTACAATACCAGAACTCAAACTCTACTATAGAGCTATATTAACAAAAACAGCTTGGTATTGGCACAAAAATAGATCCAAAGGCCAATGGAACAGATTAGAAGACCCACAAATAAAACTATACACTTACAGTTATCTGATATTTGATAATGGAGCCAAAGACATACAAAATAGGAAAAAATAGCCTCTTCAATAATTGGTGTTGGGAAAACTGGGTATCCATATGCAGAAAACAAAAAGTAGATTCCTGTTTTTCACAATGTATTAATAGCAATCCAAAGTGGATCAAAGATCTCAACATCAGACCAGAAACTTTGAAACTACTGAAATAGAGAATAGGAGTAACATTAGAACTTACAGGCATAGGTAGAAACTTCTTGAATAGATTCTTAGGGGCACAACAGATAAGGGAGAGACTTCACATGTGGGATTACAACAAAATAAAAACTTTCTACAGGTTAAGGCAATATTTACTAAACTAGAAAGACAGCCAACAGATTGGAAGAAGATCTTTAACGGCAATATATCAAAGTCCTAATATACAATATATACAAGGAGCTCAAGAAATGAACTCCTCCCAAATGTAATAAGCCAATCACTAAATGGGCAAGGGAACTAAGAAGAGACTTCTCAGAAGAAGAGGTAAGAATGACAAACACATGAGGAAATGCTCATCATCCCTGGCCAAATGCAAATCAAAACAACTCTTGAGATTCCATTTCACCCTAATAAGATTGGCCAACATTGTGAATTGGA